CCCCCCCACAGAAAAAGCAGCACAAATGTTAAAGAATCCCTCCAAAAGTAAACCCTAGCAAGAAAAAAAGGCTGAAAAAGAGAAGCTATCTCTAATTCTGCACATTCAGAAGACATTACGGCATTGTCCGAAATATATATTGGCTGTCAAAGCAGAACATTGTTCTTCTATTAATAGTGCCCTGGCAATGCCAGACCCTGTTGAAGAATTTTGCTTTCCACGGAGAAAACAAGTTTCCTTTGTTGGCTAATTTCGGCCTTGCAACGCAGGGCTGCTCCTACCTCTGCTTGTTTCAGGGTGCCACAGTCAGCTGCTGAGATCAGGGCACAATAGCCCTGGTTCAGGCCAAGGAATTTCTCTTCTCAGCCTCTGCAGGCCCCAAGGCAGAGAAGGTGGCTTTCAGAAGGCCTTCTGTGCTCTTGCGGTGACTTAGAAGATAGAACAACAGAGTTGGAAGGGATCTTGGAGGTCTTCTAGTCCAACCCCCTGCTCACGCAGGAAACTCTACACCATTTCAGACAAACAGCTGTCCAATATCTTCTTCAAAGAGTTGGAGCATTCACAACTTCTGGAGGCAAGTTGTTCCACTGGTGAATTGTTCTCACTGATAGGAAATTTATCCTTAGTTCTAAATTGCTTCTCTCCTTGATCAGTTTCCACCCATTGCTTCTTGTCCTGCCTTCAGGTGCTTTGGAGAATAGCTTGACTCCCTCTTCTTGGGGGCAGCCCCTGAGATATTGGAAGACTGCTATCAGGTCACCCTAGTCCTTATTTTCATTAAACTAGATATATCCAATTCCAGCAACCATTCTTTACATGTGTTAGCCTCCAGTCCCCTAATCCTCTTTGTTGCTCTTCTCTGCACTTTCTAGAGTCTCAACATATTTTTTACATCGTGGTGACCAAAACTGGATGCAGTATTCCAAGTGTGGCCTTACCGAGGCATTAGAAAGTGGTATTAACACTTCATGTGATCCTGATTCTATCCCTCCATTTATGCAGCCTAGAACTGTGTTGGCTTTTTTGGCAGCTGCAGCACATGGCTGGCTCATATTTAAGTGATTGTCCACTAGGACTCCAAGATCCCTCTTACAGTTACTACTATTGAGCCAGGTACCACCTATACCAGGGGTCAGCAACCTTAAACACTCAAAGAGCCACAAAGGTCCTAACCGGAAACTTCCGGTTCAATTCTGGAACCAACTGGAAGTCCGGTTCCCCCACCATAGAGTCTCCTCCTAGCACAGCGTCCTTTTTCCCCTACCTAACTGAAAGCCCTATCAATTGTGGAACTGACCAGAAACCCGCCCCTTGCCATAGTGCAGGGGTCTCCAAACTTGGCAACTTTATGACTTGTGGACTTCAACTCCCAGAATTCCACAACCAGCTGTGCTGGCTGTGCTGGCTGTGCTGGCTAAAGAATTCTGGGAGTTGAAGTTCACAAGTCTTAAAGTTGCCAAGTTTGGAGACCCCTGCATAGAGTCTCCTCCTGGAACTCTGTGCTCCCCCTCAGCCGGAAGCTCCTCTCAAAATTATGGTGCAGACTGGCAACAGGGAGCCACAGCAGAGGGATGAAAGAGCCACTTGTGGCTCCAGAGCCATGAGTTGCTGACCCATGTCCTATACTATACCTTCAAGGGATGGCTTGCCTCCCTTTGGAAGTCAGAAATGCCCTGATTGGAGACTTGAACAAGCCAAAGAGTAATTGCCAGACAGGGAGATGACCAATTCAACTAGGCTAAGGTGTTAATTTTGAATTTTGTTAAATGTTAATTAAGGTCTATTTTAATTTAATGAATGAATATTCTATAGCAGTGATGGGCTTAAATCTATAGATTCTATGATTTCAAACCTGGTCTGGAAGAACAGAATGGAGCTGAGTCCCTTCAATAGAAGAGAATATCTCAGTCAGGGTTAAACTGTGGAGTCCTTGGTGCTGTCTGAGTTTGGTTGTTGGCTTTTTTACACTTCTTCAGTACTAAAAGGGAGTGGGGTTTGTTCTTTGTTTATATATAATAGTTTGACCTGTCAGTATCGGTAGGGATGTTGTTTTCTCCTTGGTAGTTCCTTGATTAGACTGTTGTTTACTCCTCGATTGTTTTTCTGAGTTGGTAGTTCCTTGATTAGGGAATAGTTTACTGCTTGATGGTTTGTCTGGTCTTAATCCCTGCTTATCTCATTGTTGATTTCTAGTGAGGAAATGTTCTGGTCTTTCTGTCTAGCTTTTTTATTGTCTCTTCTGAATGCTGTGTACATGTTGTTTATCTCTGCATGCCTGTTGATGGCTGATTGTTGAAGGGCCAATTCCTTATCATTTTTGGATTGAGCTTAGTCTGCTCATAGTTGACCAGTTGAAACGAGGATTGAACCTGTCCACGTGCTGTGAGATTACTGAGTTTTCATCATGCCTTCTGATTGGATGTACTCTGCTAGTCTTCTACGTGTCTGTGCGACATACTGGCTGTTACACCATAGTTGTAGACAATTCCAGATTTACTTCCTGGAGTATGAGGTCTTTTAGTTTACTTAAGATGTTTTGGAGAACTTTAATTGGTTTGTGTGGATGGATTGGTTGGTGAGACCTTCTTCCTTGGTAAGCTAGTCTCTTTAAATGCCTCCTTTTATTAGGATTCCTGAAATGATGATAGGAATTCAGCCACAGGACATTTTCTGGGTTGGCCTACGTCTTTATCAAAGAGACAATTTCGATCCATGGCTGCAGGCCTGAAATACTTCTGATTATGATCTTGCATCAGTAATTTATTTATTTATAACATTTATGAACTGCCCTTCAAAAAAACTGGAGTGCCTTTTTTAACCCCATTGTGGGGTTAAGGAAATAGCTGTTTAGATTTGCCTTTCCATTGGCTCATTGGATTTTTGTCATTTGATATAATAACCTTTGTTAAGGGAAGCGGTAGCTCAGGGGCTGAGCTTGTCGATCAGAAAGGTTGGCAGTTCGGCGGTTAGAATCCTAGTGCCACGTAACGGAGTGAGCTCCCGTTACTTGTCTCAGCTTCTGCCAACCTAGCAGTTCGAAAGCATGTAAAAATGCAAGTAGAAAAATAGGGACCACCTTTGGTGAGAAGGTAACAGTGTTCTGTGCATCTTCGGCGTTCAGTCATGCCAGCCACATGATCACAGAGACGTCTTCGGACAGCGCTGGCTCTTCGGCTTTGTAACAGAGATGAGTGCTGCCCCCTAGAGCCAGAAATGATTAGTATGTATGCGCGAGGGGAACCTTTACCTTTACAACAATCTTTTCACCTATACATACAGCTTGGAGGTAGGCATTTCTTTAAAAACAAGGACAAAATTAGTTTCATCCTTTGAAAACATTCATAGAAAAAAATCACCACCCCATAATGCTTATTGTCTCAGAGCCAATAGCACCAATCTTCCGTACAGTAACTCTCCATTGTTCTATAGTAGAGCCTGCTATGTAGATTAATTTTTTAGAAATAAATCGCAAATATTTACATTCTTTTTGAATATACAAATGAAACCAAAAGGTTGATCATGTTCAAGCTTGCAGCTATAGTAAATCTTTTTATAACATCCTTTCTCATTTTAGTCTTCAGGACTTCAACTGTTGACCTGGTAAAACGAGCTTTTTGTAAATAGTTAGAACTGAAGTATTTCCAAAATGAAATAAACTGTTAGTTTTGGATCAAAGATATCTCATTCCAGCATTTTATTCTTTGATATTTTATTCTGCAGGAACTGTGTTTCTTTATTTCTGTTTAAACAAGTATTTATTTAAGGAGGGATTATGAGCTATATAAATTTTCTTCCTCCCTGTTACTGGAGACAAACATAGCTTTTTAGAACAGTAGACTTTATTATTCATTTATTTTGCCTGTCTGCATTTGAGAGGCATATAGCAAAAAATAAGGGTTAAAAAAATAATGGAAAACAACAGAAAAGCATAAAACAACACCGGTCTTAATAGTTCAGACCAACAATACAAGAACTACTCTTTTCCCAGAACAAGCTTGTCATTTTTCTCTTGTGTATTTGTAAGATGAATTGTGGTTTGTATTTATAGAGGCAAGTTAACTCTTTGGGAGTAACAATTGCCTTTTTTGTTGTTGTTGTTGCTTTTTTATTTTTTTGTTATTGTTTTTAAAGGATCACCTAGTCAGATTCTGGTAATTCAAGTATGTTTTAATTTGTTTATCAACATTGGAAAAATGAGAAGATACCAAAGCAGAAGGAAGTTATTAAGAAAATAATGGAATATGCTGAAATGAGTAAATTGACATTTGAAATTAGAGAACAAGAAGATAAACAATATTACAAGATATGGGATTCATTTTATCAATGGTTAGATTAAAAAATATGGAAATGATATATCTTAGATAACTTTATAATACTAGGATAATAGAATTATAGAGGATATAACGTAAGGATGTATTATTATTGGATAGATTTATGATGGGGTATTGAATGTTATAATATAAATTGATCCAAAATGTTGAATGTCTCGCATAAAGCCATTTCTGTCTGACTCACAGACGAACACAATACAGAAGCCTGATGATGGCAGATGAGATTCTGCCGAAACGTTGCTACAACTTTAAAAGCACAACTATAATGACGTCAGAATATACCCGAACAAAGCTGAATACCATACATATAAATACCCGCGAAAATGTAAACACACACACACACACACACACACACACACACACACACATATAACAGAAATACAAAGAAAAATGAAAATAACAGGAAAATAGAGGTGGAAAGGGGGCAGAGGAAAAAGTGTAGGGGAAAGGAGAAGAAAAACACTAACTCCTTTTGGTGCAGTACAATAAGGTAATAACATACAACCTCCACTTTTTATTTTTTTTTATAATAAATACTGGCTATTTCTAATCCTAACCCTAACCCAACTCTATCTAATCAGTCAAACCCAAAAATCAAAGTTTCTTTATTTTCTTGCTCAAACACAAACTCCAAAAGCGATTTCCAAATGGAAGCAAAATTAATTGTATTTTTTTTTTCTTTAATCAAAGCAGTACATTTAATCTCCACCAACTTTTGCAGCCATTCGTCCATTGTGGGAATCAAAGTACCCTTTCTGTGTGTGAAGCATTTTTGCTGCTGCCAGCATAATAAAACATCAAAGTAAATGATCACGTAATCTGGTTCTTGTTTTGCCTCTACTGTAAGTAGATGTCTTTAAGAAAGACACCAGAAAGAACAAAAATCTAATAACTCTGAGTCTAGAAAAAAAACACCATAGATCATCTCGCTTCCTCTCCTTGTTTCAATACATCATGGATTGTATGGTCATTCCAGTTCTTCTCTTTTTGCAGGACTTCATCGAAAACTGCCAGCTGCTAAGAACTTCCTCGGTCTTTTCTAAATGCCATCATCTGGTGGATCCCGAAAAGTTCATTGGCCTCTGTGAAGAAGACATGTGCCGGTGTGCTCAGGATAGAAATTGCCACTGTCCAGTTTTTCTGGAGTATGCTCGAAACTGTGCCCAGAAAGGTGTGATCTTGAAAGGTTGGCCAGCCAGCAGCGCCTGCAGTAAGTTTTCAGGATTAATGTTCTTGGTGTGATGGGCTTCCTAGTTCTAGATTCAACATTGCAAAGTTCTCGCTATGCTTTTTGGGGGGAAGGACGGAGATGGGATTCAGCAGGTTCTGACCAGTTCTGGAGAACTGGTAGCGGAAATTTTGAGCAGTTCGGAGAACTGGCAAAAGCCACCTCTGACTGGCCCTGCCTCCATCTATTCTCTGCCTCCCATTGAGTATCATCTGATCATCTAGGTCTCCTTTGGTTGCCCTGCACAGGAGAACGGAGCTGGAAAGCAGGTTAGTGGAGTGGGGAGGGAATGGAGATTTTGCAGTATCCTTCCCCTGCCATGCCCATCAAGCCATGCCCACCTTCCCATGTTGTGGTTAGCCAGCAGCAGGTGCAGATGGCTGAGGAAAGTGAGGACTCTGATGAAAGGCCAGGACCACTAGGGAGTGGACTGCTGCCTTCAGAGATTGTGGGGGCTGGCAGCAGTGATGAGGAGGTTCCCGAGGAGCCTGTGCCCAGTGCATGTGCATGAAGGATTACTCAGAGGAAAGAACAATTACAGCAGCACAGGCAACTCGGGAGTAAGGCTACAAGGCAATGGCCCCTCCCTCAAGAGGATAAAAGCCAGGTTTGGAAAAGCGTTCTTTGCAGACAGCAAAGAAGCTCTGAAGCTCAACTGGTGGACATCTTAGTTGTGTTGGAGAATCTGGTAAATTAGGTCTTATCTCTGAGTTTTTGGCAGCCTTGACAAACAACTTGGCAAGGCTCTTTCTTATGGAGCTAACTAGTGGAAAGCAGCCTTCAGAACAGAATTCGTTATTAAACCTTAAAATGTGGGGGCTGCTGCCTTTGTCTGTTTGCTTTTGGGAACCTGGTTGGGTCATAACACCCCACCCCACTATCCTGCTTTCTAGCTCCATTCTCCTGTGCAGGACAATCAAAGAAGACCCAGCCCATCAGCTGGGACTCAATGGGAGGCAGAGAATAGATGGGGTTGGCGGGGCCAGTCAGAGGTGGCATTTGCCGGTTCTCTGAACTACTCAAAATTTCCGCTACTGGTTCTCCAGAACTGGTCAGAACCAGCTGAGGACCACCTCTGAATGGCACTGAGCCAAAGTGACTTATGACCGTTTTTCACCCTTGTGGACAATGAGGCATTCCCCAGGGTCACATGATCAAAACTCCGCTGCTTGGCAACTGACTTACATTTACGATGATGGCAGTGTCTCAGAGCCTCCTGCGATCCCTTTTGCGACCTTCTGACAGGCAAAGGCCAAAGGGGGAAGCCAGATTCGCTTGAACCAACCTTGTTACTAATTTAATAACTTGCAACGCTTCACTTCACAATGGTGAGCAAGAAAAAGCTCACTTAGGAAAGGTCTCATTGAGCCATAGAAATGTTGGGCTCCAATGGTGGTCATAAGTTGAGGTAATCCATCTTAAAAATAAAAAAAAAGACACACAAATTGGTACGTCAGCTCAGGGCTCAGTCAATTCCTGCATCAAATTCACTTTGGGCCTTTTCTCACAATTTAGTTGCCTAAATCTTAGTGGATAACCAGCTAAATAAGAGCCAGCAGTGTGCAGCCGCCGCCAAAAAAGCTAATGAAATCCTAAGTTGCATTAACAGAGGGATACAATCAAGATCAAGTGAGGTAGTAAGACCACAGCTAGACTACTGCATTCTGGTCACCACACTACAAAAAAAGATGTTGACACTCTAGAAAAAGTGCAGAGAAGAGCAACCAGGATGATTAGGGGACTGGAGGCTAAAACATATGAAGAATGGTTACAGGAACTGGGCTTGGCTAGTCTAGTGAAGAGAAGGACCAGGGGAGACAGGATAGCAGTCTTCCAATATTTGAGGGGCTGCCCCAGAGAGGAAGGGGTCAAGCTATTTTCTAAAGCTCCTGTAGGCCAGAGAAGGAATAATGGATGGAAACTGAACAAGGAGAGATTTAACCTGGAAATAAAGAGAAACTTTCTGACAGTGAGAACGATCAACCCATGGAACAGAAGTTGCCCTCGGAAGTTGTGGGAGCTTCATCACTTGAGACTTTCAAGAAGAGATTGGATGCCATCTGTCAGAAATGGTGTAGGGTCTCCAGCTTGGGTGGGAGGTTGGACTAGATGACCTACAAGGTCCCTTCCAACTCTGATTATCTGTTAACTGTCAAGTCCAGACTCGCTTCTAACTGGTTGATTCACATGGACTCAATTTCCCTTCTGAGAAGCCATCAATGTGCAAATTAAAAAAAAAAAAAACCAGGACAGAGGATTTGGGTGTGATAGGTTCTCCTCCTTCTATTTGATTCGAGATGTCTTAATTGTAAGTTCTTAATCAGAATCGAACCTTGGAGGTCTTCTAGTCCAGCCCCTTTTCTCAAGCAGGAGACCCCATACCAGTGATGGCTAACTTTTTTGGTGCCAAGTCCCCAAAGTGCACGTGTGCAAACACCCAAAATGCAATGCGTGCACCCCCCCATGCATGTGCCCCGCCCATCGCACATCCATGCATTTCTCCCGTGCTTGCGTACCCCAGTGCATGCACTCCCCCGCATACGCCCTGCCCCCTCTGCACACACGGCAGAGACCCCGAAGACCAGGTGGCTGGTGGGAGGCGCATGCGCATGCGCATGCACAACGGAGCTGAGCTGGGGCAACGGCTTGCATGCCCGCATAGAGGGCTCTATGTGCCACCTCTGGCAGCGTGCCACAGGTTCGCCATCACGGCCCTATCCCATTTCATACCAGGGATTGTCCATTCTCTTCTTAAAGACCTCGAGGGATGAAGCAACCCACAACTTCTGGGGGCACAGCTGTTCCGTTGATTAATTGTCCTTACCGTGAGGAAGTTTCTCCTCAATTCCAGGTTGATGTGAGGTTCATTTCTCCGTCTTCCACCTTTTCAGGACCAAGATGTCCAAGCGGCTTGGAGTACCACGAATGCACGTCCCCTTGTGCCAAGACCTGCCAGAGCCTGAATATCAATGAAGTGTGTCCGGAGCAGTGCGTTGACGGTTGCAGCTGCCCCGGTAACTCTATTTACAAGCGTCTGTGTACAGCAGAAATCTTCTGGGCCTCAGTGTTTCCCGTTTTCCTCATTTAAGAGAAGGAAACCGCTGTCCCTTTTGAATGTTTACAAGTATTTATTGATCCCCCTGCATGCATGCTCTCTCTCGAAGAAGAAGGACCACTCTTTAAACTTTTTTTTTTTTAAGTAGATGGAGGGATTAGTCACATTCCAGCATTAACTGGTTGCGCATAGGATTCAGGATTATTTCTGAAGGATTTCACTGCAAATGGAGGAATGGAGAAAAACACGCCACTCTATAAAGAGCCAGGAATGTCTGGTCGCCCTTTTCTCTGGCTGATGTTCTGCAGGCGTTTTTTTTTCTAAAATGTCTGTAAAGATTCTCAATCATCCAGGTCAAGGTTATGCCAAAGGTGCTTATTTTTTCAGGAGGCCACTGGACTTCCTTGGTTTTTTTTCCCCCTTTGAAGACGTTGAAGAAGCTTCTTGGAGGAGAAGCGAAACATCTTCAAAAGAAAAAAAATACCAGAAAATCCAGTGGTCTCCTGAAAAAAGCACCTTTGAGACAACCATGACCTGGATGACTGAGAATCTCTATAGACTTTTAGTTACACAATTTGGGATGGACACCCTTGGAATGGCGTGGGAGTATGAATGGATTTCCAGAGGAAAAATTGCAGAGTACAGAAAACATTTGCACTACTCAGGCGACCCTGAGGACGCAGATAAACCTCCAAGGGGCCTCAACGACCCTCTAAAAGGATGCAAACGACCAGCTGTCTGCAAGGAGTATAAATCCTTCCATTTCCCCACCATCCAGTCAGAGGTGAAGAAGCTTCTTGGATGAGAAGCGAAACATCTTCAAAGGAGGAAAAAGCAAGAAAGTCCAGTTGCCTACTGAAAAAAAGTGCCTTTTTTTTCTAGAGAGGGTTCAAACTGAGGTTGGCGGGGGAGACGGCTTTCAATTGTTTGATGGGGGGGGTCCATGCTGTGCCACATGGACGCCTCTGCTGAATTGGAAAAAAATCGCGGCCTGGTGGCTACAGGCAATGAGAGCAGGGCACCGAGGTATTTGCCCTGAGGCATTTTGGCACCATCCAAGCTTCCCGCGACCTTGGATGAACTGAATTCACAAAATTCACACCCACACAGACCAAAAATCTAAAAATGACTTTCCATCGTTTTCTATGTTGTGGCTTTATGTCCTAAACTACGGTGAGGAAATGGGGGTGATGGGTGGTGACTTTTTGTGCCTTGAAGGATCCAGGCGTGTCCAGTGGAGTTAATTGCTTTCCTGGGCTTGTCTTTTAGATAGTCTTGGGTTGGTTTTGCAAAATACAGTTCGTCTGCAGAATTAAAATTTAAACCAATCTTCTTTCCTTCCTTCCTTCCTTCTTTTCATTTTCTTCATTCCTGCCCTCTTTCCTTCCTTCCTTCTTTCTTTTCTTCCTTCCTTCTTTCCTCCCTCCCTCCCTCTTTTCATTTTCTTCATTCCTGCCTTCTTTCCTTTTCCTTCCTTCCTTCCCTCCCTCCCTCCCTCTTTTCATTTTCTTCATTCCTGCCCTCCTCCCTCCCCCTCCCTCTCCTTCCCTCTTTTCAATTTCTTCCTTCCTTCCTTCCTTCCTTCTTTCTTTCTTTCTTTCCTTCTTTCCTTCCTTCCTTCTTTCTTCCCTCCCTCCCTCTTTTCATTTCCTTCCTTCCTTCCTTCCTTCCTTCCTTCCTTCCTTCCTTCCTTCCTTCCTTCCTTCCTCCTTTCTTCCCTCCCTCCCTCTTTTCATTTTCTTCCTTCCTGCCCTCTTTCCTTTTCCTTCTGTCTCTTCTCTTCTCTTCTCTTCTCTTCTCTTCTCTTCTCTTCTCTTC